AGCAGAGACCTCTCCTAATAAGCCCTTCAAATCCAAGCTTAGTAGGAAAGGTGGTTCCTGCACCCTGGCTCTGGCCTCAGTACATTCACCTGTCAGGCTTCGGAACCTTCTGCATCTCTACAATCATCCCCCACTTCCTTGGTCATCCATTCTCATTACTGGTGAACCCCCATTCCCTGGCTAATGCTGCAGCACGTCTAGGAAAAGGGAGTGGATCCATGAACCTGGGAACAGGTGTAAACTTTCTGAGAAGGAGGAGCTCCAAGGGTCAAGCTGGAGAAGGTGAAACTGCCTTCAGGGCCAAAGGACTATGGCAGGGTCTGAGCCCATGGGACCTGGGCTTGCTTAGGCCCAGGGCAGGCATCGAGCAGCCCACAGTGATGAGGATGAGAGGACCTGCACTTTGAACAAGGGGAGCTTCCCAGAGCTGTGCCCCGGGATGCTGTGGACTCAAGGTAAAAAGCCAAAGACGGCACAGTACCGTGTTCATGGTGGTCAGAACCATCACCCTTAGGTATTGATAAGAACCTAACACAGCAAATCAAGTCCCATTCTTTAACAGTGTTTACTAAAACAACCACGCCGTGCAACCGATGTAAACTTGTTCCTCCTGTGGGCTTCAGTTTCTTGTAAAGTGAGCAGCTATGCCAGCCATGCTTCACCTTGCCAAGGCATTGCAGATGACCAGCCGCCGTGCCCACTAGCTGATCTTCAGAACCTGGATGCAGCAAGACTGCCTACGTGTGACGCCCACTCATTACCTGTGGTCCATGTTGCAAGGTGGTGCTGAAGGCATAGTAAGAACCTGGATGTTAATCTGGTGGCATGGCTTGTAAAAGGCTATCTTTGGCCTGCCCAGGGCTTCCCACAACCTGGCAGCGTCTCACACTGGAGTGGGAGAGATCACTACCCTCCTGAGCAAGCAGGGAGGTGCTAGAACCTGATGTTACTTTTATAAGATTTATGTGCTGGAGTGTTCATCCCAGTCACCTGCAGAACCACTTCAAGAGACTGAACGAGAATGTGGTGGTGATTATATTCATTTAATTTTTTGCTGTGGGGCTCTTTTTTTCCCAAACAAAAGCTTCTGGGAAAGTCCAATATATAATGAACATGGAGCTACTTTGACACAAGCTGGGTGGGGCCAGGGGTCCAGCCTCCTGGCCAGCCCCTGTGCCCTCCTTCCCCAGGGATTGCTGGAAGCCCCAGCAGAGCCCTGCTAACAAACTGCAGAACTCCATGCCCTCTTACAGCCCTGCCCAGGCAGGAGGGCAAAGGTCACAACAAGCCAGATTTCAGCTCAACATCCAAAGGACCCTTTTACAATCATAGCTGCCCTGCAATGGGCGGGCACTGCCTGCCACTGGGAGAGTGTGCAAGGAGAGGCTAGACAGACAGATGTAGTCACTATGGCAGAGCAGAGCAGTGGTCACCAAATGAGGTTCCCAAGCCCAGGGTGTAACAATAGGATGATCCATCGGGATGCCTGAAAAAATGTTAGTGTTTGTCTTGGTTTGGGTTTCCCTAGAAGCCAACCTTAAGACAAAGGTCTGAGTGCAAGCAGTTTATTTGGGAGGTGAAGAAAGCACCAGCAGGTGATGGGGAAGGGATAACAGCCAGTAATGGGTTCATTCTCAAACAGGTTACCACTGGGGGCCACTGAAGTATAACTGCACTGGGAAAGCTGGAAACCAGTGTAAAACATGCATTTCAAAGGTACATCCCACAAGGGGTGAGGGATATACACAAAATTCCCTCAGTGAGGGCAGCTCAAGAGCTCTGTGGAGTCCCTAGCACTCCTAGCCCTCCAAAGGCAGCAAAGCCGACCGTGGTAGCCAGAGAGCCTTTTGCTCCATTATAGATGAGTGTCCCTCCCCAGCACACATTATTTTTGTAACACACATGAACTCATTCTTATCTCATGGCAAAATATTTTAAAAGAATTACTTAATTTAAAGTTGTGGCCAGGGGCCAGAGTGGCGGCTCATACCTGTAATCTGAGCACTTTGGGAGGCTGAGGCTGGTAGGAGTTTGAGGCCAGGAGTTTGAGACCAGCTAAAACCCCATCTCTACTAAAAATACAAAAATAGCTGGGCGTGGTGGCTCATCTCTGTAGTCCCAGTTGCTTGGACTGAGGCATGAGAATCGATTGAATCCAGGAGGCAGAGGTTGCAGTGAGCCGACAACGCGCCACTACACTCCAGCCTGGGGGACAAAGCAAGACTTTGTCTCAAAAAAAATAGGTTGTGTCCAGGCTCAGTGGTTCATGCCTATAATCCCAGCACTTCAGGAGGCCAAGGTGGGAAGACTGCTTGAGCCCAGGAGTTTGAGACCAACCTGGGTAACATAGCAAGACCCCATCTCTAAAAATACAAAAACATTAGCCAGGCGTGGTGGTGCAGCCTATAGTCCCAGCTGCTTGAGCGGCTGAGAGGTGTGAGCATTGTTTGAGCCCAGGAGATCGAGACTGTGCTTAGCCATGATCACGCCACTGCACTCCAGCCTGGGCTGGACACAGCAAGACCCTGTCTCAATAAATAAACAAAGTGGTTACAGAGGTTTCTCTTATAAAAACGCAAGCATTACAAATTTGTGGACCCCCCCTCTTTTTTTTTTTTTTTTTTTGTTTTTTTTTTTTGAGATGGAGTCTCGTTCTATCACCCAGGCTGGGCTGGAGGTAGTGGCTCAATCTCGGCTCACTGCAAACTCCGCCTCCTGGGTTCAAGCAATTCTCCTGCCTCAGCCTCCTGAGTAGCTGGAATTACAGGTGCCTGCCACCACGCCTGGCTAATTTTTGTTTGTTTGTTTGTATTTTTAGTAGAGACGGGGTTTAATTTTTTTTTTTTGTATGTTTAGTAGAGATGGGGTTTCACCGTGTTGGCAAGGCTGGTCTCGAACCCCTGACCTCAGGTGATCTGCCCGCCCTGGCCTCCCAAAGTGCTGGGATTACAGGCATAAGCCACCACGCCTGGCCTTGCTGACCTTCTCTACACTGACAATGACTGTCTATGACAGCCAACAGACATATTTGAGCAAATGTACTTATTTTGTAAGATAAACAGTCTCTCTAAAAAGTTGTATTGCATATATTTTAACTTGTTTAATTACTTTTATTTTTATTTGTAATTAATTCTACAGAAAAGTTGCAGTGGCAGTATGGCAATGCCCCTCACCCACATTCCCCTGATATTAACATCTACATGAACTAAGATAGTTGTACCATTTTACATTTCCACCAGCAGTGTATGAGAGTTCCACATCCTCACCAACACTTGGTATGGTCAGTCTTTTTAATTTTAGCTATCCTAATAGGTGGGTAGTGGTCTCTCATTGTGGCTTTAATTTGCATTTCTTTAATGACTAATGACGTTGAGTTTATTTTCATGTGCTTATTTGCCATTCATATATATTCTTGGTAAAGTGTCTGTTACATCTTTTATACATTTTTTATTTTGATGTTTCTTATTATTGAGATATATATGAATTCACATATATATTCTGGACATAAGTCCTTTATTACAGCAGTCCCCAGCCTTTTTGGCACCAGAGACCAGTTTCATGGAAGACAATTTTTCCACAGATCAGGGTGGGGTGGGATGGGGCAGCGGGGAAGTATGGTTTCAGGATGAAACTGTTCCACCTCAGCTCAGGCACAATTATGTTCTCATAAGGAGCACGCAACCTGGATCCCTCACATTTGCCGTTCACAATCGGGTTTGGCTCCTGTGAGAATCTAAGGCCGCGGTGATCTGACAGGAGGCGGAGCTCACCCGCTGCTCACCTCCTACTGTGCAGCCTGGTTCCAAACAATCCCTGGGGAAGGAGGGCACAGGGGCTGGCCACGAGGGCTGGACTCCGGCCTCACCCAGCTTGATTCAAAGTAGCTCCATGTTTTATATTGGACTTTCCCTAAAAGCTTTTGTTTGAGGAAAAAGAAAAAAAGAGCTCCACAGCCCCCCCAAAAAAGAATAAATGTTTCATAACCACCAAATTCCACTTCAGTTTCTTGAGGTGGTCCTGCAGGTGATTGGGTTGAACACTCTGGCATGTAAATCTGAAAAAAGGTAGCATCAGGTTCTTAGTACCTTTCTGGTTGCTCAGGAGGGAGTGATTTTTCCCAGTCTTAACGTCCAGGTTCTCAGTATGCCTTCAGCACCCCCGTGCAACATGGGCCACAAGTAACAGAACAGTGAGTGGGCGTCACACGTAGGCAGTCCTGCTGCACCCAGGTTCTGAGGATCAGCTAGTGGGCATGGGCGGCTGGTTGTCTGCAATATGTTGGCGAGGTGAATAAAGATGGTTTTACTTCTTCAAAAACAGTTGTTTTGACACAGGTGAAAAAGCTTTTTGGGGTTTTTTGGGGTTTTTGTTTGTTTGGGTTTTTTTGAGACAGAGTTTTTGGTCTTGTTGCCCAGGCTGGAGTACAATAGTATCTTGACTCACCGCAACCTCCACCTCCCAGGTTCAAGGGATTCTCCTGCCTCAGCGTCCTGAGTAGCTGAGATTACAGGCATGCGCCACCACAGCCGGCTAATTTTGTTATTTTTAGTAGAGATGGGGTTTCTCCATGTTTGCTCAGGCTGGTCTCGAACTCCCGACTTCAGGTGACCCACCCGCCTTGGTCTCCCAAAGTGCTGGGATTATAGGCATGAGCCACCGTGTCCAGCTTTTTGAAAAACTGCTTTTTGTAAGATGCTCGTGCACTGAAGAAAGTGTTTCAAGTATTTTTTTTTTTTAATCATTATGTGAGCTTTGTGGACGAGGCTGTAGTATCCCAGTGTCCTCTAGGGACAACCTGCTCCCATTCTCACTGACATAAAACAGTGAGGGAAGGGGGCCCACAAGGGCTGACTCAGGATGAAGCCAATGATCCCCATGGCTGGACATTGCTTGAGGTCAGCAGTTTCCTCATCAGTGAGGCACTGCTAAGCGTCCAGAAGCATCCTGGGATGGTGATGGGGTGCTCCTGGAGAGTCCTAGAATTGCGGTATAATAAATGCTACACTCTCCCACCACTTTCTGAACTTTAATAAACAAGGAGCCAAGCACTCTGGCTTTAGAATAGAAAGGGTCCCACAAGTGTCCACCACATCCCATCCCTTCAGTCCATCTGCTATCTGGCCCCCATGTTCATGTCACTGGCTGAGTTAATTCTCAGGATAATTGATCTCCTGTAACAAGATATCCGCCCCCAGCTGTCCCGGAAGACACTGTGACCTTCAGGTATACAGCTCCGGCAAAGGTGATCTCCACAAGTCTCTCCCCACTCCCAGGCACTCTTGTGTGTCTTTTCCCTAAAACCCCCCACTCCCACACCCATGCTTTCCCATGCCCATGCTCTCACCCCCAGAATTGTTTTCAGGCCTTTGGGTTCTCCAGTCACTGCGAGCTGTCCTTCACATGTGGCTTTAAGGAGTAGGATCTGAATTGTAATCCACAGTTGGAGGGCACTTCCCCTTAGTAAATGGTGTGATCCTTTCCCTTTAAAAAGAGAAATTAAATATGGAAGTGATCGTTTGGAGGGGAGCGGGCTCCTTATCCCTGGAGGGACACCCATAGGGGATGAACAGGTACCTGTTGGTTATGCTTCACAGAAGATCCTGCATTGGTGAGAGGCCAAAATTGATGACCTCTAGACCTTTACAACAAAACACATTCTAAAGATGAGATTCCACCAATTCACGCCCAGTTCAGCTCATTAAAGCACCCAAGTTGGCTTGTAAGCACTTCAGATATAAAATCATAGTTCCTGGAAGATCATCTAACCCAACCTTGAGAGGAAGAGCAAGGGTCAGAAAGAGGAGGGAACCTACCTGAGGGCACCCGAAGGCCAGCAGCAGGGCCTCAGCCTCCCATCCCATGAGCCCTTTGAAGATGGCACTTCCCTAAGAACCCTTTGCTGTGTGTGTCAAAGAGCATCTGCCAGCCCTTACATCACACACTTAGTATCTGCTTGTTGTCTGTCCTCCCCAAGACGTGAACTCCATGAACGCAGGACTTGGATTTCTTCATCGGTATTTCCCCTATGCCTAGATCATTACCTGTGCTTATCAAATATTTGTCAAAGGAGGGAGGACTCACAGGGTAAGAGGGGTCTTTCCCACCATCCAGTGGGTTTCCATGCCTCCTGTCTCTACTCCTCGCCATGCCCATGGCCCCTGGCCCGGCCCCGTGCCTCATTTCTCATGTCCACCATTGAGGCAGCCTCCTTGTCTCTGTCCCCGTAACAATCCATAATACCATAAGCACGCTTTTTTTTTTTTAAACAGAAGAATTACTTCCCATTAAAATCCTTCTGGATATCTGGGATAAAATATTTGCAAAACACATATCTACTAAAGGACTTATGCCTAGAATATCTAAAGAACTCAGAGCTGAATATAAGAAACCAAGCAGCCCATTTGTTTAAAATGTGCAAAAGATTTGAAAACACTTCACCAAAAGAAGACATCAGAGGATGCATATGAAAAGATCCTCAACATCTTGTCACTAGAGAAATACAAATTCAAACCATAATGAAATATACTATTAGAATGGCTAAAATTAGAAAAGAAAAAACCCTGACAATACCAAGTGCTGGCAAGGATGCAGAACCATTAGACCCCTCATACATTGCTGGTGGGAGTCCAAAATGGGCCAGCCATTTCAAGTATTCAGCAGCTTCTTATAAAGTTATATACACACCCACCAAGTGACCTAGAAATCCTACTCTTAGATATTTACAGGAGAGACATAAATACATATGTCTACGTGAAGACTTGTATGTAACTGTTTATAGCAGGTTAATTAAAAATTCCCCAAACTGGAAACAATCCAAATGTCCCTCAACTTGAGAATGGATAATCAAACTGGGTCACAACCTTACAATGCAGTCCAACTCAGAGTTAAAAAGGAACGAACTACAGATACGCACAACAGCACGGCTGAATCTCAAGAGCACCACATAACAAAAAAGAAAAAGATACAAAATTCTACACACAGATGACTCCACTTATATGACATTCTGGAAAAGCCATAACTCCAGGGATGGTAAAGCTGCCAGGGGGCAGTGGGAGGAGGGGGCTGACTATAGATAGCACAAGGGGGATAAGAATATTCTAGATCTTGCCTGTGGTGATATGCATGACAACTACATGCATTTGTCATAGAATTGGGCTGGGCATGGTGGCTCATGCCTATAATTCCAGCACTCTGGGTGGCTGAGGCAGGTGGATTGCTTGAGCCCAGGTGCCCAAGACCAGCCTGGGCAGAATGGCAGAAGCAATTCTCTACAAAAAATTTAAAAATTAGCTGGGCGTGGTGGTGCACACCTGTAGTCTCAGTACTTGGGAGGCTGAGGATTGCTTGAGCCCAGAAGGTGGAGGCTTCTATGAGCCGTGTTCACACCACTGCGCTCTAGCTTGGGTGATAAGAGTGTTCACCCTATCTCAAAAAACAACAACAAAACCTCATAGAATTGTATACCTAAAGAGAATGAATTTTACTGCATGTGAGTTATACTATAATAAATTCAACTTTAGGCCAGGCGCAGTGGCTCATGCCTGTAATCCTAGCACTTTGAGAGACTGAAGAGGGTGGATCACCTGAGGACAAGGGTTTGAGACCAGCCTGGCCAACATCGTGAAAACTCATCTCTACTAAAAAAAATACGGAATTAGCCGGGCATGGTGGTGCATGCCTGTAATCCCAGCTACTAGGGAGGCTGAGGCAGGAGAATCACTTGAACCCAGGAGGCAGAGGTTGCAGTGAACCTAGATCATGCCATTGCACTCCAGCCTGGGCAACAGAGAAAAAAAACAAAAAACAAAAAACTCCATCTCGAAAAAATATATACATAAATAAATTGAACTTTTAAAGAATCCTGTGGCTTCTCACATTCAGAATAAAGTCCAAGCAGCTTAGCTCTGCATTCCAGGCCTCTAAGAACTGACCGAACCACCTCTCCTGCCTTATTCTCCACTATTCCCCTCTACACCCCTGAAACATCATTCAAAATGGGCCATTTAGTATTTCCCAGATATATCCTGAACTTTTTGCTTCTTTTCCTTCGCTCATGCTCTTCCTTCTGTCCTATTTTTTTCTCCTCCCTGGAAGAAGAAAACCCTTGAGGAAAGAACACAGCTTGGAGCCAGCTGGACCTGAGATCCAATCCTATTCTGAGAGTGTACTAGACAGAGAGCAAAAATGGTGCAGGCCTCCGCAGCTCCTGGCATTGGAGCCCTTTCCAGTGCAACTTCGCAGCCTCTTCCATCACGGGGCAGAGTCCACTTTCCCTCCCCTTGAATCTGGGCTGGCCGTGGAACTTGCTTTGGCCAACAGAATGTGGAAGAAACAATGGTGTGGCATTCTGAGCCTGGGCTGCAAAAGGCCTTGCACACGTCCTCTCTCAAACGCCAGCCTCCTCCCTGGGGGCAAGCCTGGGCTACCCTGCTGAAGGCCAGAGTCCCTGTGGAAGAGAGTCTAGTGTTTCCATCCAAGACCATCCCAGACCAGCCAGCCTCCAGCCAACCCACAGACTCGTGAACAATAACAAATGGCTATTGTTTTAAGCCACTGAGTTTTTGGGTGGTTTGTTATGTAGCAATAGCTAACTGCTACAGTCAGTAACTCGCTGTGGCCCTGGGAAAGTTACTCAGTGTCCTCGTCTAGATAATAAAGGCAATACTACATACTTCACAGGGCTTTGTGATGTCCATGAGAGATGATTTTTTTTTTTTTTTTTTTTTGAGATGGAGTTTCGCTCTTGTTACCCAGGCTGTCAGGCTGGAGTGCAATGGCACGATCTCGGCCCACCGCAACCTCCGCCTCCCGGGTTCAGGCAATTCTCCTGCCCCAGCCTCCTGAGTCGCTGGGATTACAGGCACGCGCCACCATGCCCAGCTAATTTTTTGTATTTTTAGTAGAGACAGGGTTTCACCATGTTGACCAGGATGGTCTCGATCTCTTGACCTCGTGATCCACCCACCTCGGCCTCCCACAGTGCTGGGATTACAGGCTTGAGCCACCGTGCCCGGCCGCGAGATGATTTTTTTTTTAATTGAGATGGAGTCTCACTCTGTCTGTCACCCAGGCTGGAGTACAGTGGTGTGATCTCAGCTCACTGCAACCTTTGCTGCCTGGGTTCAACTGATTCTCCCGCCTCAGCCACACTAGCAGCTGGGATTACAGGCACCTGCCACCATGCCCAGCTAATTTTTGTATTTTTAGTGGAGACAGGGCTTTGCCATGTTGGCCAGGCTGGTCTTGAACTCCTCACCTCAGGTGATCTGCCTGCCTCAGGCTCCCAAAGTGCTGGGATTACCGGCATAAGCCACCGCACCCGACCGAGAGATGATGTTTATACGGACTTGTGTATAGTGCCTGGCACACAGTCAACCTTCGATTAACAGTCATTATTGCCTTTCCAAGCCCACCTCTTACCCAGCTTTTGAGAACCAGATCAAATGCCACTTCTTCCAAGCAGGCTTCCCTGCTTGGAAGGCTCCAAATTCACTGTAATACTTACCTCCTCTGAACTCCCACAGTACTTCCCCTCTCCCCATCCAATACACTCTATCCTCAATTAAAAGCAATTTGGAAAAACAGCGATAGCCTTAAACATAGGTATCCATTACAGATGTATACTCAAAGCCAGAAAAAGATGAAATGATCTATATAGGACAGGGACAGAAAGTCTGTTCTCCTGCCTCCCAGGCCTCTGCTCCATCCACCCATCACACACAGCCCCCTTCAAGGGAGATCTCAGCAGACTTCCTTGCACGTTCTTGGCGCTCAATAAATGTATCCTGAATTGAATCAGCTAAATTGGGGTTGGCATTTTCTGCCTTGAGGGCAATGAAAACATGCAGGAGGGTTTGGGGATTGTCCCAAAGACTGGGGGCCACTACTCCCCAGCCAGTGGGCAGGCACCTGGAACGCTAACCGTCCCACTGGGCAGGAGAGTCTTTCACCATGAAGAGGCGCCTCACCCCTCCCACAGGCCAGCAGTGCCCTGCTGTCTAATTTTCAGACAGGCCTATTAAGAATTCTCATTATTACTATGGGATTTTGTTACTCATATTTTGAGTGTGTAAAAGTTTATAGTTAGGCTGGGCATGGTGGCTCACGCCAGTAATCCCAACACTTTGGAAGGCCAACGTGGGTGGATCACTTGAGCCCAGGAGTTTGAGACCAGCCTGAGCAACGTGGTAAAACCCTGTCCACAAAAAATGCAAAAATGATCTGGGTGTGGTGGCATGAGTCTGAAGTTCCAGCTACTTGGAAGTCTGAGGTGGGAGGATGGTTGAGCCTGGGAGGTCAAGGCTGCAGTGAGCCGTGACTGTGCCACTGCACTCCAGCCTCCAGCTTGACCCTTCGTCAAAAAAAGAAAAGTTCATGGTTATAATTTCTTCATGGATTTTATTGTTTATCATGATTAAATACTCATCTGTGTTCCACTTACCATTTTTGCCTTGAATTCTATTTTGCCTAGTGTTTGTATATTACTACTCTTTCTTTCCATTGTTGGTTACATATACATGGCCAGGAGTCCATATATAGAATAGCCAGATATATATATTTGGAGACGTAGTTTCACTTGTCACCTAGGCTGGAGTGCAATGGCACAATCTCAACTCACTGCACCCCCTGCCTCCTGGGTTCACGCAATTCTCCTACCTTATCCTCCCCAGTAGCTGGGATTACAGGTGTGTGCCACCACACCCAACAAATTTTTTGTGTGTTTTTAGTAGAGATGGGGGTTTCACCATGGTGGCCAGACTGGTCTCGAATTTCTGACCTCAGGTGATCCCCCCCCCTCCACTTAGGCCTCCCAAAGTACTGGGATTACAGGAGTGAGCCACTGCACCCGGCCATGTATTCCCCTTTCTTAAGCTCTCCATGTTAATTCATTTTTCATTTGACTGGAGTATATCCTCCAGTAATATTTTCAGAAAACATGCTATTGGTATACATCCCAACACATGCATCTCTCATTTGCCTTGCACATGAATGATTGGTCAGCTACCTACATTGTCTCTACATTGACTCTACATTGTCCTAATTATTTTCCTTGAGTTTGAGTTTCTATAAACAGTGTTTTCTATCATTTATGTTTCAGAAGTATGATATATGCCTGTCTTTGATTAAGATTGCAGGTTGTAATCTAAATCAAAATCTTACAGACTGCAAGATTTTTATTTTGCCCTTTAAAACCCAGAAATTTCACCACACTTTTCATGGATCGAATAGGTACATTAACCTCTTTCCCTCCCGAAACCTCACTAAAACAAAATAAAGGAATAAAAATGATAAGGCATATACCTACAAGGGCAAAAAGAACAGAAGACGCAGCAGGAAGAAAAAATATTTTGGAAGTTGAAAAGCAGATGGAAGAATGGTAACTAACCTCATAGACCCAAGAAAGCTAACCCCCAAATTAGTAGAGAGCAAAGCTAAGAATCCCCCCAGCTGCAAAAGACTAAGGAATTGGCAGCACCAGGTACCTCTGGAAGTGGGAATGAAGGTGAAACAGAAAATAGGGTTTGAATATCAGTTTGAAAGTCTGTATCTCGTTTCTCTCCCCAACTGACTGCAGCCAGATGAGTGCCCTTCATTTAGCCTGGAGATTTATTCTCTGGAGACAGATTTCTGTTCAGGATGGCACCAGGCATAGTTGAAATCACGAGTACCATATTTAAAACAGGGAATTGAGCTGGGCATGGTGGTTCATGCCTGTAATCCCAGCACTTTGGGTGGCCAAGGCAGGCGAATCACCTGAGGTCAGGAGTTTGAGACCAGCCTGGCCAACATGGTGGACTCTCTCTTAGAAGCCTTGCCAGGTGCGGTGGCTCACACCTGTAATCCCAACACTTGGGGAGGCTGAGGCAGGCAGATCACCTGAGGTCAGGAGTTCAAGACCAGCCTGACCAACATGGAGAAACCCCATCTCTACTAAAAATACAAAATTAGCTGGGCATGGTGGTACATGCCTATAATCCCACCTACTTGGGAGGCTGAGGCAGGAGAATCACTTGAACCTGGGAGGCGGAGGTTGCGGTGAGCCAAGATTGTGCCATTGCACTCCAGCCTGGGCAACAGGAGTGAAACTCCACCGCAAAAGAAAAACCAAAAAAACAAAAAAACAGGGAATTAAGTAGAAGTTTGATTACTAAATATTGAGAACTCTAGCCTCTTCCCTTCCACTTAGATTCTACAGCTTGGACAGCCAAGCTTACATACCCCAGAGAAGCTCGCTCTGGCCAAGGCCAAGAGGAACGCTCTGACAATAGTGGCACTGGCAGTTCACCCAGTGACAACGCCCTGCTTGATCACACTGTGGCAGTCCATAATCAACAAGTGTCCCCGAGCCTTCAGAAGCGTTTACAGCTGGACAGGGGTGCATAGCCAAGCATCACCGGACATTTGAGGAAAAACCTCTGATGTGGAAGACTGAGGCCAAAAGGAACATGCAGAAAAATGAGATTTGGGAAAAAATGGGAACAATGCCAAGCAAACAGTCTTAATGTCTTCAAAAGGAAGACATTAATCTTTAATCCTTTGAAGATTTTGTCTTAATATCTTCAAAAGATGAGGAAGTGCTGCCTCCATGAAACTAGAGCATATTGTTATCAAAGGAACATTCAGAAAACAAAAAGTTACCCTTAAACATTAAAAATATGAATGCAGAAATGAAATTTTCATTGAGGGAATGGCAGACTATTTCTGGTCACCTGAAAACAATTAGCAGCTCAGACGTGCTCCGCACAGAATCAAGCATGAGGCAGGTTTTTCAAATGAATCAGTCAATGAAAAAGTGCATTAAAACATCCTTCACACCTGTTATCTGTCCTCTGTGCCTCCTGGCATAATTCTTCTGAGCCAGGAACCCAAGGAGGGCAAGGGCTTCGTGGACATTGCAACTGATGGCCTCTTAGGTCAATAAAATATGGCAGCAGCTTACATTTGCAGGCTGTTGTATAGTTTGCCACAGTATTTCACGTACCTTTTCCTTCTTAGGCTTCACAATCTCCTGAAATGAGTTTTACCAACCCTATTATGAACACCAAGAAACAGATTCCACGTGGTGAAGCCACTGAGGGCCGACGACTGCGTGGGCTGCGGGCGGTGGATTTAGGGTTGATGGAGTACCTTTTCCTTACCAAGTGTTTTCAACAGATCATTTCATTTAGGTCTCCTCCACCATCTGCTCTTTTGACAGCTGAAGGAAATGAGGCTCAGCAGAGCTCAGCAACATGACCCACCCATACATCCAGTAAGCGGCAGAGCCAGGATCCGAATGTGAACATCCCTCCACTGCCTCTGCTGTTTGGCTGGCCTCAGGGGCCGAAGCTGTGTTCCCGTGGGAACCAAACATGGGGAACCACCAGCCCACCCCAGAGTAAGACCCCCACCACCACCCTCCCCGCTTCTCCTGCAGCTCCAGTGCACTCACTGCATGAGCATGTCCCGGGCCAGGTCTGAGAGGTAGCGTTTGGATCCAGGCAGGTATAAGGACCGATATCGCTGCCGCCTGTCCTTGGTCTCCATCAGCCAGGTGTTGAGGTAGCGGCCCACACCTACGGGGTTCTGCAACAGGGAGACGATGGCAGGACAGTAGCAAGCCTGGCTTGGAGACTGCATCTCGGCTCCCTCTCCTCCCCTCAGACTCTGCCCTACTCCATTTATTATGAACTGAATTTCATCCCCCAAAAGGCGATGTTGAGGTCCCAACCCCGAGTAACCCCAGTACCTCAGAATGTGAAATAAGGTTGCTAAGGACATCATTAGTGAAGGTGAAGCCACACTGCGGTAAGGTGGGTCCTTCATCCAAAGTGACTGGTGTCCTCATAAGAAGAGACACACAGGAAGACAGCCATGCAAAAAGACAGACTGGAGAGATGGCTACAAGCCAAGAACACCAAGGATTGCTGGCCACCTACGAGAAGCCACGAGAGGCAAGGAAGGGTTCTTCTCAACAGGTTTCGGAGGGAGCACGGGCCTGCAGTCGCCTTCATTTCAGGCTTCTCGCCTCCAGAACTGTCAGAGAATATATGTCTGTTGCTTTAAGACACCTAGTTCACGGCAGCCCTAGGAAGGGAATACAGCATCCCACCCAGCTATCTGGGTCACAGATCCTCGAGGCAGCAACAGAGAGGTTGGGAAAGGAGATGCAACTTGCCCCAGGTGACATAGCAAGGGCAGAATTAAGGCAGGACAAGAACCCAGCCATCTGCGGAGAAGCAGTCCCAAGGCTCGGCTGCGGAGATGTTAGGACCCAGAAGCTAGTCCCATGCTAAACGGAAGTTGCCTCCCACAAGGGAGAAGCCTGTTTCAGGAGGCGCCAGGTTTGGGGGTGCAAGCAGAGGGGCTCTCCCACCCTGTGGGGCAAGGCCAGCTGAGCCACCAGAACCCGGACCTCACATCAGTCCTTCCCACTTCCCGGTGGCTGGCCCAGTGGTAGCAGCAGGGTCATTTGGCTTTGATCTAAACATTTCACTTGGGGGCTCTCAGGTAAAGACTACTCCCCTGTGGGGTGCAGGCTAGAGGTGACAAAAGGAAGGATTCGGAGACAACCAGCTGGTCCTCACAAGAATTGGTCACTGGGGTCTGGGCATGCTGAGGACCTTGCCACCGTGTAGGGAGGTGAGGTGGCTGGCATGTTCCCCAGAGGAAAAGCTCAGGTGTCAGGGTGCAGGATGGGGCAGTGGGATGAAGCATGATGGGAAGGCGCATAAGTTACAAGCAAGGCCCACCCAAGAGAAACCTTAAAAATGGAAAACTGTTCAAAACCTGTGCTACTGGAAGTCAGGACAAGAGGCTATCTAATTGCAGGTGGAGGTGGGAACTGAGGAGGCTCTTGGGGTGCTGGAAATGAGAGCTGTTAAACTCTCTGGGGGGTAGCTACGGGCCATTATCTGACAATTCATGGAGCTGTGCACTTAGGATTCAGCACCTTTCTCTGTGATTATTAGACTCCAATAAAAGGTGCATTTACAAACTGAAGAGGGGGTAGAATAAGAAACAGAATGAGGTCAAAGCCCAAGGCCAGGAATTTAGCTGGTTTACAAGACACTAACTAAAGATTACATTGCACACTTGGGAATGCCTCTGGAGAGAAGGAAGAGAGTGGGAAAGGGAAGGGGCTGGAAGGGGCCTTGCTAGGCAAGGGATGGGAAAGGGCTCAGCTTCAGCAGCTGCCCCTGAGGCCCAAGACAAACACAAAGAGCAAATGGAAGGAGCGTTTCTCCGGGAAAATAAGAGAACGGCATGGCTGCCGTGGGATGTTCCTTAGCTCACTGGCTCTCAAAGTGTGGTCCCTGGAATAGTATCATCCCCATCACCTGAACTTGTTGGAAATGCAAATCCCCAGATCCCAACCCAGGCCTACTGTATCAGAAGCTCTGACACGGGGCCCAGCCATCTGTTTTAACAAGCCCTGCAGGCAATGCTGATACCAGCTCAAGTCTGAGAACCAATGCCTTAGGAAAATAAGAGTGGGAGTGGACCTCAGGCCCCTTGGGGAAAAGAAAGGCAGGGCATGTGGCTCACTCAAAGCACGGGTTGCAGGGGACAAAGAGTCTTCAGTGTTGGCTGTAGAGGCAGAAGAGCATTCCCTCGTATCCCCCACCCCAGACCCACTCACCCAGCTTCCCAAAATCATCTGGCAGGCCTTTGCACCTGACCCCTTGGAGGAGAACAGGAACGGTGGCTGGTTGACAGGTCTGCATTTCTTCTCTTGTGGAAGCCAGAAACCAGGGCCAGACGTGGCCTATGAGTAAGGAAGGAAGGCTGAAATCTGGAAGGCTGTGGCAGTGTCAGCCTGGGCCCAGGGCAGCTGAGGGCTCCTGGCAGCTGACTCCGCCCGTTCAGCAGCCCTGGGTCTTGAGCCAAGGATGGTGGGGGGCACCCAGCTACCTCCCAGCAAAGGGCCCTCATGACCCATGCCACCCACTTTAGCACCCCCCCCACCATGGCCTGATGCCTCTTTTCAGGTGCCCAAGGGCCTTCATGGTCTAATGGGGCCCAGACAGCTGAAGACCCCATTTCTGAGGAAGAAGGCCACACCAGACTTGGAGCCACATGAGCTGAGTTCCAATCCCAGCCCCTTCTCACCCTTGTTGGGAGAATTTGGGCAAATCCCTTTCCAGATCTGGGCTTCAGTTTCCTTTAGTGAAATGTAAATGATAATCCCTACCTCAGCAGGGTGGGGCGGGGGGTTGGAAAGTGCCTCAAAGGGGCAAACCCTGCTTGGGGAGCCTGCTCAGACCCCCAGAGGGCTGCTTTGACACCAGGGCAGAGCGCACCACTCCCTTGGGTGGAGCAGGTGGGCAGGCCCTCCAGTGGGGAGCTGTACTCTGCCCTGCTCCAGTTTCCTCTGCCCATCCTCCAGCACTCTGAGGCCAGAGGAAGGGGAAGGTCAGCACTGGGTAGGCCCTTCCTGGGCACCACACACCATGCTACAAGCTCTGAGTGCACAGCCCCATCTAATTCTCATAACCATTTCACCATCTTCATAGGACAGGGGTGTAAATCGAGGCCTGAACAGGGTCTCATCTGAAGTGTCCCAACATCCAAGACCAGAACTAGAAACCAAGTCAGTCTGATTCCAAGACTGAGCTTTCCCCATGAAATTAACCGCCAAGCCCTGGAAGGAGAGCTGCCCTCCAAGAGAGGAAGGCCAGCCATAGCAGCGAACTGACCAGAAGGCGTGGGCACTGGCTAGGGGTAGACCAGTAAATCCTCTCCGTAGGGATTTTCGGGTTGCGGGGAAGTTTAGAAAAAGCCCCACGTTTCTCATTGTGACGTGAGTTAAGTTCTTCTACGAAGCTCTTGAAATTCATCAGTTCCCTGGGCTTTTTTTTCTGAGAAAAAGACAGAAAAAGGAATCTGTTATGCCAAGAAAATCAAGAGCTTCTTTCCCAACCCCCCCACTGCAACCAGAGAAAAGCAATGGGGCATCACTTACTACTCTGCTGTGCAGACATCCCGGAGGCCAGGCCAGTCTCAAGGGCCCCTTGACCTGGGCTGGTGGAAACAGCCAGCCTTCCCTCAACCAGCAGGCTGGGGCGGAGTTAGTCTCTTGCGCCCCGCACCTGCCACACCCTGCAGCCCAGCTCCTTTTCATCCATTTTTTCTTTCTTTCATTTGTTGGACAGGTATTGAGTCTGGTACTGTTCTAAGCAGGAATGATGCCTTAAATATTTAAAACCAGCATGACTGGAGGAGCACAGAGGATTTGGAGGGCAGTGAAACTATTCTATATGATACTAAAATGGTGGCTGCATGTCACACATTTGTCCAAACCTACAGAATGTACACCACCTGAGTGAACCCTAAGGCACGCCACGGAGTTGGGGTGATAATGACTTATTAGTGTAGGTTCTTCAACTGCAGCAAACAAACCAGGATGCTGTGGGAAGCTGATGGTCAGGGAGGCTGTACATGTCATGGGGAGGGCAGTGGGTATATGGGGATTCCTTGTGCTTTCCACTCAATTTTGCTGTGAACTTGAAACTGAGCTAAAAAAAAAAAAAAAAAAAAAAAAAGTGTGGCCAGGCACAGTGGCTCACACCTGTAATCCCAGCACTTTGGGAGGCCAAGGCGGGTGAATCACCTAAGTCAGGAGTTTGAGACCAGCCAGACCAACATGGAGAAACCAACCCCATCTCTACTAAAAATACAAAATTAGCCGGGTGTGGTGGCGCATGCCTGTAATCCCAGTTACTTAGGAGACTGAGGCAGGAGAATCCCTTGAACCCAGGAGGTGGAGGTTGTGGTGAGCCGAGATCATGTCACTGTACTCCAGCCTGGGCACCAAGAGCAAAACTCAGTCCCAAAAAAAAAAAAAAAAGGTTTTACAAACAGAAGCAAACAGCGTGGCCTGGGCACTGGCCACAGTGCCTGTGGAGGGTCCCTTGACCCCTTCTGTGGCTGGTCGTGGGGAGGTCTGGGAGGCTCCAGGGAGCAGCCAGGTCGAGGCCTTAGCTCAGTGGCTGCCTACCAGCTAGCCCCAAAGTCCTGCATTAACCACCACCCCTGCCATGGCACTCATCGCCTGCTCACACTCAGGAATTTTTTTATTCATTGATAAATGAGTTTCTTTTCCCACAGAATGTAAGTTCCACAAGGTTGCTTTCCCCTGCACCTCGCCTACTACCTGGCCTGATCATACCCACTGCAAGAATGCAAAATGGAGACAAGACAAACAGGCAATTAGACAAAACTTAATTCCAAAGGCTATGAGCACAAAACAAGCAAAGCGCAGCGCACTATGAGGTTACAGCACAGGGACTTGATGGGGGCGGGAAGGAGTCCATCAAGATAAAATTCTACCTCAATTTCCCCTCCTGGGCCTCCCTGTTCTCTGCTTTGTTAACAGAGCACTGGCACTAACCCAGCTAGCTTGGTCTACAATGCCTGCTGTCTCCAAAATAGGAGGGCACCCCCCCGCCTTGTGTCATCAAGGTTCCTCACAGGGCCAAGCTCCCCTGGCACTGTGGGCCATCTTCACCTCCTGGGCACATCACGCCAATGCAGAGGAGAGAGCTGGCAGTGAAGTCAGACCGACGTCCTTGGGTTCAAATCCCAGCTCTGCTCCTTCCAGCCGTGTGGCCAGCCTGTTTTCCTTACCTAGCACAGGAAGCCAGATGTGCCTGGCTGTGAGGGTGAAGCGAGGGGGTGTGGAAACAGCCCAGTGCAGAGCCTGGCACCCAGGCTGGTGTTCCTGGTGCTGACTAGTGGGGCCTGTCATCCTGCTGGGGTATGGGTGAACACCCTCCACCCCCCAGGTACACACCTGCATGGAGTAGTGCCCATAGGGCAGTGGCTTGCTCCGATCACCAGAGAAAGTGTCATAGGGACCACGAGTGCCAACGGATCGTGCCACGTAAGTATCAATGCCGCTTTTGATGGAGTAGGTGCCGGGTGCCAGACCACTGCCCTAGAGCACAGCAGAGGCAATGAGGCCTGCAGGACAGCTCAGCTTCCCGCTCTGCCCTGGGAGTGCCCCTCCAGGACGGGAAGGCAGGCTAGGCCTGGCCAGCCAAGGGGGTACCTGATGAGCCCGGGGGTGCGGCTTGTTGCTCATCCTGCACATGAGGCCCTCGGAATGGGACCGGTTCCAGGCATTCTCCTCCAGCTTGGTGTATGGGTTGCCCTTCTCCCCATAATTTCCAGGGCCCGGATAGTAGTTCTGTGGGGCGGGGTGGGGGCATAGAGGCCGTCAGAACCACTCCTTGTGCTGAGCGTGCTCCTGAGGGACACCTGAGATTACCATCCCCAAGAAGGGAATGGGGTTTTGAGGGTGCCCGCTTGCTACCTGCCCTCCGACACACAACATTGTTGCCCCTGAGCCTCCACCACTGCTCACACCTTTACCTCCAAGCTCAGCCTCTTCCCTGGGCTCCAATGGCCTGTCCAAGTGACATCTCCCTGCTTCCTCCTCACATCACACACTCTGGCCAACACAGTGGGCTCCTTGCTGCTCCCCAAGCACACGCCACTCTGCCCAACCTTCCCTCGTTGGCTCGTGCTGTAACCACTGCTCCAAATGCCCTTCCTGCCCTCTTTGCCTTGGACAATTCCACTGTTCCTGCAAAGCCAGCTCGAACGTCATCTCTCCTGGAAATGAAGCCTTCTTGCCCCACCACCTGAGACCGTTGCCTGCTTTAGTGGATCTGGCAATTTCAATCTTCACACCCCTGCACCACAGCCCTGCGTGACACGAGGGCTTTCTCAGTGTGCTGTTTCAGGGAAGGACTGCCATTCTGGGTTCAGATCCTGGCTCTGCCGCCTCCTAGCTGAGTGACCGCGGGCCTTCTGAGTCTCGTGGTCCATACTGGTACCACGGGATAGGAATACTTTCTTCCAGGAAATGATGATGAAGTTAAAGAGTGTCTGTAAAATAATGTCTGCAAGGAAGTGAAGGGGGCTGGGCGGAATGGCGTGTGCTTCAGGAGTAGCAGGAGCCCACCATGTCCCAGCGTGGGATACAGGGAAGCAGCAGCGAGAGAGCATGGACGGGCCAGTGGGGCCCTGCAGGAGAGGCTAAACTTGGAAGTGAAGGTGCCAGCAGTAGTGGAGGCTCACAGGTGCCTGGCACATAGCGACACTGACACGTGATAAGTCAGGGTGAGGTGGCTGAAGGTCTTGGGGGGCAGGGGGAGAGGTTAAGAACCGATTGGAATGACCATCTGGGACCTGGGCTGCCAGGGTCAGAAGTGTGATTTTGTAGGCAGAGTGAGGAGGGAAGTCCACCTTGGGTAGACACCTGGCGGGACGCGTTCTGCTGCTCTGCACCTTTTAACCACGCGGGGTCACTGCTGCTCCACAGATGGCTCGGCTATACCCACCTCTGAGCCTGGCATCTGACCCTGAGGAAGCATGATGGGGCAGAGAGGGCAGGCACCTCTGCATGGAGTCAGACCGCTAAAGGCATCCGATTTGTTCACTCCCAGAGGAATGGGACTACAAGTCTCCTTCCGGGGTTCCCACGTATGCTCTGGAGAAAACCCCCAAGGATAGCTGCATGGTGTATTAGGTGCTTCACAAGCCTCAGCATCTCGGTCCTGGCAGTGACTGGGGAAGATCAAGTCAGCACCATCCACAACTAACAGATGGGGAAACTGAGACTCAGAGAGGCAAACTCCATGTCCCACGTCCCATCTCCAGAAAGGGACAGCATGAGGGTTTCAACTCCAAAATCCATAATCTTTCTGAGCCTCTACTGTTTGCCAGGCACTGTGGAAGGCACTGGGTGGGTGAGCAGTGGTCACCACAGGTCCTGGGAGACTTTGAAGATGAGGGTTATGCCAAGGGTCAGAGTGGCCCTGCTCCTGGAGCCCAGGGGCAAGCGCAGCGCTGGGCACTTCGTCAGGATAATCCCATTTCTTCCTTAAAACCTTCAGGTTCAGACATTCAGTACCACACTTGGGCTGATGGGAAAGCCCATGGTTTTAACTAGAACGTTATGTTGTCAGAGCTTTGGGGACTCAAACAGGAATGATTAATTGGAGAGGGGGAGTATGGGAATGAATAAATCATCACTTTTAAGTTGTTCTCTTTCTTTTTTTCAGGCTGGACTTTGAAGAATGAGAAGGATTCCCAAAGACAGGTATGAGGGAGGGTGGGAAGGTCCCCCAGTCAAAAAGAGCAAAGGCAGGAAGGAAAGACAGTCAGCTTGTCACCCCAGTTCCCTGCCATTAGCGAGGCTGAGTTCCCACGCCCAGGCCCTGGCCTCCACAGAGAATCAGGGAGCAAAGTCCAAGAACTGTGGGGGCCAAGCCTGTGGATGAAATGCCAGGTACATGTTGGACTCCTGGGATTGAAAAGTCTGCTTCTGCCAGCTGATAGATTCATGACCTTGGGTGGTAGGTTACTTAGCCACTTTATACTCCATTTTTCTCAACTGTAGGATGGACATAATGATAGTGCCTACTTCATAGGGCTGTCATGAACATGAAATTAATTAGTACATGGTAAGTGCTATGCTACATGTCCACCATGCTACATGTCCACTATTATTACTTTGGATTGGACGGTAATGACATTTTTAAATGTTCCAGGCATTCCCTCTCCCTGAGTTACAGTTACAGCTTCTGCACCTGAAGATGCTCATCCCCTGATTGTGTCAGGAGGAATTTCCAGCCTTCATAGAAGCGTTCCCAGTGTTGAGAAAGGCCCTGGCTCTGGGACTGGACATTCCCATGTCTGCATCTCAGCAGCTGGGGCAAGCTGCTTATCTTTTCTGAGTCTCCAGGGCCTCCTCTGGAGTGGTTGCAAAGAATTAAAGAGAATGTTTTGGAGCACCTGATACTTAGGATGCATGCACTTATTCAGTCCACAAATACTTCCTGCATGCCTATGTGTGCCGGGCACTGCTAGAACCCCAGAATGCTGCAGTGAAGGAACCGAGTAGATGTGGTCTGCCCTCAGGGGCTGCTGTCCAGTGGGGAGGGATGCTGAACACACAGCCACAATGGAGACGCCTAGGAAGGGAGACGCCACCTAGCAGGGCTGAGGAAGGCTTCTGGAAGCTGAGAGCTGCAGGATGAGTAAGCGTGCCCTGGGAGAGGCTGCTGAAGGAGGAAGGGCATTCCTAGCAGAAGGAACAGCAGGAGCAAAGCCCCATGTGAAATGGCATGGCCTGTGTGAGGGGCTGGGAGAAGGATACCAGCGTCCAGCACAGAGAGGTCCAGGCCAAAAACTGCAGCGCTGGCTCCCTTGGAAGGGGGTGACTCCTGCCTTCTCCCTTGTGCCCTTACTGAGCCTCAGCGTCACTCAGTGTCCTCCTGATGGGATCATCATCCCCCAGTGCTGCCACCCCCGCCTCTCAGCACCATTGCCTCCTCCCAACCCTGGTCCTCACAAGGGTATTCCTCTAAAAAGGTAAGTCAGGTCCCCCTGTCAAAGCCCTCCACTGCCCCCCGGCAGCACCTGGAATAAACACCAAGGCTCCACGTCAGCTGCAGGGTCCTCATGACCCAGCCCTTCACTCCTCTGCCCTGTCACTCGCCTCCTCTCACCCTCGCCCAGTGCCCTCCAGCCACACTGGCCTCCTGCCTGCAGGTCTGACTCGACAGGCATGTTCCTGCCTCAGGGCCTTAGCCTCTGCTGCTCCAATGCCTAGAATGCTCTACCAGACACTGCAAGTCTCCGTTGCTCATGACCTGCAGGTCTGCTCAAATGTCGCCTCCTCCCAGAGCCTGACACCCTCTATCAATTGCACCACCATCACTGTCTGTCCCTTCCCTGTCTCATTTGTGCTCACAGCCCTGCTTATATATGTATTCTATTTCCTTCTTTGTACTACTGTTTCCCCTACTAGGATATCTACTTCATGAGAGCAGGGACCTTGTCTTCGTCACTGCTAGATCCCCAAGGCCTCGGTCAGTGTATGCCACTTAGGAGGCACTTCACCCTTATTCCTGGCTTGCTGGATGGATGTACAAGTGAATGAATTTGTTGGGCACCCCATGTATGCCAGGCTCTCTGCTCGGGACTCCAGACATGAGAACACCTACCCCAATGAGTCCTCGGAAGCGAACCTCCCCAGAGCTGAGCAGCCCCCGGGTGCTACATGGCTTCTCCCGCAGCTGTTCTAAGAAGCCTTTGAGGTTGTAGGAGCCAGGCCCCAGCTTCTGCTCCTGTGCCAAGAGAAAAGAGCAGAAGATAAGAGCTTTAAACTTGGGAAAGTCCACACAGGAAGAAGCCCAAGGCGTGATGGCGTTCCTTAAAGGATAATCGCCATCTGGCCCTGGTAGGACACTGATGGCCACACGGAGCAGCTGCAATGGACAGGAAGACCTGGCACCAGAGAGGGAGAGGCCTGGCCCAGAGGCCTCACCTGCAGCCGCTTCTCTTTCATGATCGCCTGGTACTGGAAGTGGGGTAGCTGGGTCAGCCGCGTGGCTTCCTGGGCCTTGGCCCAGCCTGTATCCACCTCCTTCATCAGCTTCTTCTTGCTGAAGCAGGTGTCCTTGGAGCTGTAGGTCCCAGGGCCTATGTGGGACTGAGTCAGAGCATGGTCAGAGCTGTGACAGCCATACCTGCCCAGTCCTCCACAGAGCAGGTCCTTACCAAGCCACCACCCTGGCCCGGAGGCAATCTCCCCTGTGGCTGCCACCCTCAACACCGTGGCTGACACCACCAGGCTTGGCACTGAAGGTGCCATCATCACATCCTCCATCACTGCCCTTCACACTGCAGGGAGGCAGAACAGCTCCTTCAAGAGTCCACAGCTAGTCAGTGCACAAGCTGGGAGTGGCGCAGTCCCTCACTTATTAAACACACTGGAAGCCCCCAGCAGGTCCAGCTCTGTGCTGGAAGAATGCAGAAGATACGCTCCTTCAATAGCTCAGCTCATCCACCACAGCAGGCAGCTCAGAGGGACAGCGGCCAGACGCTGTGGGAGGAATCGGGAAAGCTGTGCAAACTTACCACTTCCACAGAATAACGCGTGGAGTATGGGGCCTCAGTGAAGGTGCTGAGCTTCTTCCGGTTGGGATAAACAGCAGAGATGTCAAACCTAGGGGGGGCCAGAGGCCCAGTGAGAGCCTGTGCCTGGCCCCTGGCCCTGGCTTGGGCAGGCCTGGAGCATGGGGGATTTGGTTGCCTATGGAGGTGACTTTGGAACAAGCTCATGAAGGAAAAGTAGCGGAGTTGCAGTGGCTTCGAATGTTCCAGGCCACTCCCACCCCACCCTACCCGCCAGCTCCTCCCCCCAGCTTCATGTTTTTCCACAGCCCTTATCAATATCAAACATTTTACAAATATACATACTTTTCTTTATTATCCACCCCACCCCCAAAGAAGAGAGCAAACTCCATGAGTACAGAAGTTTGCTGTTGTGTTCACTGCTGCGGCCCCAGATCCTAGAACAGTGCCTGGATCCTAGTAGGTGAGAGAGAGACAGAGTGGAATATGAGTGAATGGGAAACAGACACCTGGGCTGAAATCTCACCCACCACGTTTGAGCTGAGTGGCCTACTATGGACCAGGCCACGTGGCCTCTCTAAACCTGGCACAGAGTAGGTGCTCTTGAAACGGTTTTAAAGAACTCACCGAGATGGTAAAAGAACCCTGGGCAGGGAAGAGCAGTAAGTATGGGGAGAAGAGTTTAAGTCCAGCCCCTTCTCACTGCCAGACCCTCCTCTCCTTATTCCCCTCCCTGCCAGACTCAGCCCTGTGTAAGTGGAGGTCACCCTGTGACCTCTCTCTCGAGGTCAAGGGTGGCTTCGGGGTGGGCAGCGGCTGCCTTAGACCATAGGCGTGAGCCCAGGATGCAAACAGACCCTACCTGTGGCTCTGCACCCCGAAGGGCGCACCAGTGAACCATTTGGTGGCCATGGAGTGGGCGCGGTTCCAGCCACTAGCCACTAGCTCCTGCGGGGTCCTGGCCTTCCCGCGGGCCTCCGCGGCTGCCTCTGCCGCTACCACGGCAACCAGGCCTTGTGATGCGCCTCGGAGCTGTGGGCCACGCCCTCCCGCCCCAGCGTGCGCATGTAGCCTGCTGATTTTTCACTTGTCCCTGCACATTTCCAGGGTCCTTCCCTGGCCCCTGCAGATGTAATGGCCCTTCTTGTATTTAACATGGATGCCATCGAGTGGGGTCGTTTGTTGAGGAAGTGTTTCCGATTTCTGGCTTTGTCCCAGAGCCCTGCATGGAGCCTGCCTAGGCTCAGAAAGAACCTCTTAAATGTTCACCTTGTGCTGATGGGAAACTGAGGCCCACAGAGAGGGCAGACTTGGGCAAAGGACATCCAGGTCCTTCTCTACTCCAGGAGTCAGGGGAGCAGAAGTAAGGGGGACGGGACGAGGAAAGCCAGAGGGTGGAGGGCTGGGCAAGACTGCAGGGATAGCCAGGACTCAACCGGGTCCTAGACACCCCTGGCACCCACTCTGGGCAGACATCGTGCAGAGGGCCTGGGACCCGGATGTGGCTCCTGCCCTGAAAGTAATGGGGGAAGCAGTGACCACATACTGTGGTCAGGTCTATGAGAGAGGGAGGCCTCTGACCCAGCCTGTGGGTAGGTAGGTCGGGGAAGGCTTCCTGGAGGAGAATTCCAAACTCAATATTGAAGCATATGGATGACTTTCCACGTAAAGAAAGGAATTGAGGGTATGTGCCCCACATATACCTGCAATTCATACGTAGTCAGCTCTCTCTTCCCTCCTTCCTTACCCCCTCCACCAGTGCTCCACAGCCATGTTCTGAGATTGTCTAATTTCTCCCATGATGGCCTGTGATCTTCCCAAAGGTCTTAGGCAAAGGTGGGGCAGAGATCCATACCCCATTCCATGGTGGCAGCCTTGAAGCCAGAAAGGTATAAGTTGTACCACAGGTCCTGCTTCTGGCCCATGGTGAAGCTGGATCAGAGGCACAGTAGGTCTTCTGCCAGGCCCCACCCAATGCCCTTCTGACATCCCAAGCCAGTAATTAAATAAGAAGTGTGGCTCTCCCCAGCACAGCTGAGAGCTGGACTCTTGGGCACATGGCCTGACGGGCACATGGCCATAGCTGGCAGAGCGTCTGCACTGCACCACTGAGCTGATGGTCAGAGGTGTCAGGCCTCAGGAACAGGTAGCCTGGGTCATCTAAGCAGACTCTGCCTTTCCCAGCCATGGGACCTTGAGCAAGCCACTTCTTTCTTTGAGTCTCAGCATTATCGGTTTCATTCTATAAAGTGAAACTAATCATCTCTGTCTCCCAGGCTGCTAGGAGGATGAAATGACCTGATTTACATAATACCCTTTGCACACAGCAGGAGCTTAACTGAAGGTCGTCCCTAGCCCTTGGATAGGGACCTTACAGAGGCCTGAGGACAGAGACTTGTCTCATTTCCTCCTGGTGCAGCATATAGCACATAGTAAATGTTCAGGAAATATTTGTTGAATGACAAGTGAATGAATACATGCATCTAGTCCAACTACCCAATAACACATAAATCCCTTGAAGAGACATTTAAATCCAGCTCTGCCACTTCCTGGCTGCTGGCCCTGGGCAAGTTACCCCTGCCAACTTGGATTTCCTCTTCTGTGACAGAGATAGTCAGGACTCAGCCGGGCCCTAGACGCCTCTGGCACCCACTCTGGGCAGACATCGTGCAGAGTGCCTGGGACCCAGATGTGGTCCCTGCCCTGAAAGTAATGTGACATGGACATATGACTGTAGCTTCCCAGGAGGGCTGTTTCGAGGTGTTGGCGAGGTGTGGACATGCACATGCTCCAGTCCGTGCACTTCAGCCAGCCCTGGGTCTGCTCGGGTATTCTTGCTGCTTGTCTTCTGGCCTGAGCCTCCTGGCTCCAGGACTCATGGAGGAGTGACCAAAGGCTATAAGCCAAGGTCCACTGGGCTGGGAGTCCTGGCTTCCAGGGAGGCCAGAAAAGGCCAAGTGAGTCAGCTCGGCAGCAAGGCCACTGCCCTGGTGAGTCCAAGGTCCCATTACAGCGGCTTCCTTGTCATAGCACCTCACCCACTTTCTTTTATAGGCATCATTGCACGCTCATTGTACACAGGAGGAAACTAAGGCTCAGATGGGAAGGATAACTTGCCCTGTACTTCTCATGAGCCGTAGGATCATACCACGAATGTGGGATTCATAAAGACATTTGAGAGCTCCCTGGCTGCAAGAGTGTCTAACCCATCCAGACTCCAGAGCCACCTGTTATGTCAGTGGAGTCAAGTCAAGCTTCTCAGCCAGGTCTTGGGCCTCTGTGTTGGGGCTGTGGCCGCTGCCTTCAGTCTTCATCTCCTGCCGTCTCTGCCCCATGCTCTATAAGCTCCAGCCACAAGGCTGCTCTGTCCCTAGTATGCTCCTCCCCCACTGGAGAACCTCTGGCCTTTCAATATATTTGTTGCTGATGATATGCACCCCCACCAGCCTACCCTTCCCACCGAACTCATCTCGTTCAGAGTCAAATCAAAAGCCAAACACACCCATTAGGATGGCTATTATTTAAAAAAAAAATTAGAAAATAATATGTGTGGGTGAGGCTGTAGAGAAATTGGAGCCTTTGGCCATTGCTGGTAGGAAAGTGAAATAGTCCAGCTTCTGTGGAAGACAGTGTGGCAGTTTCTCAAAGAATTAAACATAGAATTACCATATGATCCAACAATTCCACTTCTGGGCATATACCCAGAAGAATGAAAGGCAGGAGGGAACTCAAACACCCATTTGTATGCCCACGTTCATAGCAGCATTGCTCACAACAACCAAAAGGTAAAAGCAACACAAATGCGCATCGACAGATACACAGATAAACAAAATGTGATATAGTCACGCAATGGAACATTATTCAGCCTTTAAAAGGAAGGAAATTCTTTTTTTTTGAGACAGAGTCTCGCTCTGTCGCCAGGCACCAGGCTGGACTGCAGTGGTGCAATCTCAGCTCACTGCAATCTCCCCCTCCTGGGTTCAAGCAATTCTCCTGCCTCAGTCTCCCGAGTAGCTGGGACTACAGGCACGCACCACCACACCCAGCTAATTTTTGTATGTTTAGTAAAGATGAGGTTTCACCATGTTGGCCAAGATGGTCTCAATCTCTTGACCTCGTGATCCACCTGCTTCAGCCTCCCAAAGTGCTGGGATTACAGGCATGAGCCACTGGCCCGGCTAAAAGGAAGGAAATTCTAACAAACGCTACCACATGGATGAATCTTGAAGACATTATGTTAAGGGAAATAAGCCAGTTGCAAAAGAACAAATGTTATATGATTCCACTTATGTAAGGTAACTAGAGTAGTTGAACTCACTGAAACAAAAATAGAATGGTGGGTACCAGGTGCTGGGTGGGGAGGGAATGAAGAGTTACTGTTTTATGGGTATGGAGTTTCCATTTGGGAAGATGAAGAAGTTCTGGAGATGGAGGGTGGGAACCGTGGTTCAACAGTGCCCTCAGGGACAAGGGCGAGGCCAGGGGAGCATTCATGCCCCTAAGGCCACTGAGCTGTGCACTTAAAAATGGTTAACACAGTAAACACAGTAAACATTGTCGCAATTTTTTTTTCAAAGCCAAACCCTCTGGGAGTCCATCCCTGATACTCTCAAGCAGGGAAGAGAACAAGTTTCATCTCAGGATCACCAGCCATATATAGCAAATTTTTCAATGACACATTATTAAAATTAATTTTATATTTAAAAATTGATAGGTGAAACATTTCACCAGGATGTTGTTTTAACTCTTTTTTCAATAATGTCAAATATTTTTCCAAGTTTACTGATTGGTTCTATTTCCTTTTTTGGTCTCTGTTGTTTCATCTCGAAATGCTGGTCTCTGTTGCTTCATCCTGAAATATATCGACATTTCATCTATGCGAAATATATTTTATACATTTAATCTATATGAAATATAGATATTTACATCTATAGACATGTATAGATATTGCACCTAGATTTCATCTAGATTTATATTTCATCTATCTATCAAGATGAAACAACATAGATGGCAGGAGCCAGGCCCAGGTGGAAGGAGGAGCGGGAGGAACCAGCTCCTGCCGCCGGGAGCACTGCCACCCAGCCTCCAGGCTAGAGGTTAGGGGACCACTCTAGACCTGGGAGGAACACTGGCCAGAGCAAGAAAGCTGGGCGCACAGGTGGAGTGCAGGATGGGATGGGATCCAAGCCGGAGGAGCGGCAGCTGACATTTATCCAGAGTGGCAATTGTTCAGGCTTATCTGATAAATGGGGAAAGGTTGCCATCCTCACGTCACAGCTGATGAAAGTGTGGCGGGTCATACCTTACTAGGGGTGGAGAAGCAGGATCAGAACCAGCACATGCAGCCCATGGCCTTTGCACAGGAGCTCCTCACTGCTGAGCAGAGAAGGCTCAGAGAAATGCCAGGTAGGAAGCCTAATAAGTAATGGCCGAAGGAAGAGAGGAGGGAAGTGGCAGGCTTCATTAGAAGGAAGGGCACTGAGGACTCGCGGAGAAGATGGGACAGCGGCAGGAGTGAGGGTGGCTGCCGCAGCTGGAACGGCCAGTCCTGACTCAGCTCAAGCAGACAGGGCGGAGCAGCGGCCCTGGAGGCAGGGCCCGGCCTTCAGCAAACTGGGGTCCTGGCCCTACCTACTTGGGTACATCCAGGTTCTGTGACCTGGGCAAGTTCTCTTCCTCCTTTAAGCCTTAGTTTTCTCCTCCGAGCTTCGGTTTCCTTCTATGCTTAGCAGAGTTAAAAACACGCCTTTTGCCTTGCACCGAGGTTTGTGCGCCCGGTATTTGACAATGCGCCTGTTTTTCTGGTACACCTGGTTGTGCAATGTCAGCGTCTAGAAGTCGCTGAGCAGCGAAAGCGGAAACACCCACAGGGCGCTCCTCGGGCCCACCCACCTGCGGGAGGCGCCCCGAGACTGAAAGGCGGCCGCGCCCGGGGCCTCTGCGCTCTGCCCCTGGCCTCCCGCACGGAGCTCGCTCGGAGGGCGCCCCATCCACTGCCCTCCACAGCCTCAGGGGCCAGGGCGAGGCCAGGGGAGCAGAGGGAGCTGCCATGGCGGAGCCGGAGGCCGTGGCCGACGACCTAGACGCCCTCATCGACGACCTGGACTACCTCCCGGGCCACTTTCACCTGGAGATGCAGTTGAACTTCGAGCCGCGCTCGCCGACCACGCAGCGCGCCCGGGACCTGAAGCTGCAGCGGGAGGGTCTGCGGCAGGAGCTTGAGCTGGCGGCCGCCCCGCAGCGCCCCGCCGTGCGTCACCTCCTGGGCGCTTTCGCCTTCTACCTGGAGGAGCTGGACGAGGCCCGCGAGCGCTTCCTCGAGGTGGCCCACGAGCACCCGGGCAACCTCAACGCCTGGGCCAATCTGGCACACGTGTACGGGCGGCTGGGCCAGGAGGAAGAGGAGGAGGCTTGCGCCGTGCGGCTGGCCGGCCTCATGGGCCTGGCGGGGGAGCCCGAGGCCGCCGGGGACCCCCAGCTCCGTGCCGCTCGCTGCCTGGCAGAGCAGGGCTACGCGCACGGTTTCGACGTGGGCTGCGTCAGCCCAGAGGAGCGCGCGCGGGGGCTGGCGGCGGGCATCGCACTCTACGACAAGGCGCTGGGCTACGGGCAGCAGGTTGGTGACCCCTGTCTCCCACCTCCCGCTGGGAGGACTGTGATCATGGTCCCTTCTGTCTGCAGAGATGCGCCGGTACCCTTGCTTCTCCCTCAACCCTGGTCTTTCGGCCTCCGAATACCTTTCCAATGTGCATCTCCGCTGCCCCAGGCCAGGCCTGTAGCTGTCTCCTGGTCTGGGGAGTGGCCAGCCCAAGCCTCTCTTTTGGAAACAGCACAAGCAGGACCTGAACAAGTCATCCTTTTTATCTTGCTCATCCCAGCAAGTGCCTGTTCCTGCGCCTGTGCACACCCACCTAAGCAAAAGGGACAATCAGGCATCCTGCCAGAAACTTGGGCAGCATTCCCACCTCTCCCCTCCCTCCCACCTCCATCCCCACCTATTCAGTCCCCAAATCTTGTCCCCTCAACCTCCTCTTATCCCTGAGGTCTCTCCACACTTCTCCAGCCTCCCTCTGCCAGCCCAGCCTCCATACCTTCCTGCCTGCACCAGTGTAGCTTCTGTCACCCACCCTTGGGGGCCTGCCCTCCAACTTGACCCTTCTGCCTCATCATCCTGTCTGCTGCCAATGTGGTGGTGCTCCATCTTGCTAGCCATGTCCCCGCCGCCTGGCAGATATGTCCTAGGCTCTTTGTGGGCATCTGATATACTCCAGGATCTACCTCTCTGTCCTTCTTCTGCCATGTTCCCCCTTCCAAGCTAGGTTTTTGTCACACTCTACCTCCCCTTGTTCCTCCATGGGCCAGGTCTTCTTACAGCTCACTTTGTCCCTTTCTCGGCCCCTTCCCGGGGTGCCCTTCGGCTCCACCTTTGCCTGGAAGGTTCTCTTCAGTCTCAGGTTGGTCCCAGACATCCCCTCCTCTAGGAAGCCTCCACTAACTCCCCAGGCTGGGCCAGGTGCCTCCTCTGGGCTCCCATAGCACTGCTTACACTGTCCATTTCCAAGTCTCCAGTTCAACCATGAGGTCTCTGAGAGTGGAGACTGTGTCTGTCTGATTTACCACTGTAAACTCAATACACACTGGCACAGCACCGGGCACACAGTGGCACTCAATAAATGTATCTAATAAATGAATGGATCTATGTGCAGCAGAGGGCCTAGCACTCAATAGCCAAATACTAGGTATATCATCTACTGCTGCATAACAGTAGATGATATATCCCCAAAATGTAGCAGATTAAAATAAGAAGTATATATTATGGCCCAGTTTCTGTGAGTCAGGAATCCAGGCATGGCTTCACGCAGTGCCTCTGGATGGCGGTCTCATCTGAAGGCTTGCCTGCCTGGGGGATCTGCTTCCAGGCTCACTCACACGCTATTGGCAGGATTCAGTTCCTCACTGGCTGCTGCCAGTGGCGTCCCTCTTTTTCTTGCCACATGGACATTTCATCACTTTTGCTGTTTTCTGCTCATTAGCAGCAAGTCATAGGTTCAGCCCACACTCAAAAGGGGAGGATTACAGAAGGACATGAGTACAATACCTAAGAGTGGGGATCACTGGGGCTCTCTCAGAGGCAGCCTGCCACACTAGCCACTGGATGACAGACAATGATGTGAGAGAGCATTATTCTTTTACAGAAGAGGAAACCACGGTTCGGAGGGGATTCATGAAGGCACAGCACAGACAGGGTTAAGCTGATGACAATGATGTCTTATAATGTTTCAGATTTGTGATATGTAAATAACAAGCCTTCACACATGGGTAGCACAGCGCCCTTCACAAAGGCTCCGCACACTCCCCTCCGCGCCTTTTCCACAAATGCTCATGGTTTCTGTAAGAGAAGATGCGAGAGTCAAGATCTCAGGGAATACAGGTTGGAGGGCGTGGGCCTGACTGAAGGCCAGCCTGCAGGATAGAGGTTGAGACAGTTGTCTCTGAGTCAGATGGTGTGAGTCCAAATTCCAGCTCCCCGATGCTCACTCACTTCAAATCAGTGCTTAGTACCACCGAGCTCCCTTTCCGTCCCTGTAAAATGGAGATAATAATGTTACATATGTCATAGCCTTCCTCATCCGTAAAATGGGGACATCCCTCATTTGGTTGATGTCATAATTAAGAGTTACTATTTGTAAAGCACCTAGAAAGAGCTTGCACAGGGATGAGTAGGGTCACAGATGACCCCTCCCTCTCCCCTGCTGGGAATGCTCCTAAGCTGGGTGCGGATGTGACCATTGATGGCCAACAAGAACCATGTTGATGAGGTCAACAAGGACCCAGGTCTCTTGTTTCATTCCCGAGCCTGTAGCCCTGAGTGCCAGCTGCCCTCAGTGGAAGGCACAGCCAACATCGACGTGTTGAGTGTGGTCATGGCAGCAGAGAGGGGCCTGAAGAGCCCTGGGCTAGGAGCCAGGAGGCTTAGGTTCTTGTCTCAGCTGCAACACTCCCCACAGTGGGGCCTTCTCCTCCCCGGGCTGTGGTTTCTTCATCTGTGAAATGGGTGCAGGAAGTGGGTACTATATGGTCTCTGAGGCAGTTTCTTGCTCTTAGGAGGCCATTCACTAGGGAAAGGCTTCCTGGAGGAGGTGATCAGGGAGGCAGAGATTCGGGGATAGCTATCAAACAGAGGCTGGCTCTTCCCTCTCTCGGAACATGGCCACAGTAGGGATTTCCCAGTGAGTGAACATCCAGATGACAGAGTGTTAAGCAGGGTGGCCAGCACTCCAGGGAGGGAACTGATTGCTTCACGGGAGTGTGGCTGCCAGTCCTGTGCTGTGTCCTGGGGCCTGGCCCAGCAGCTGCTCCACAGTTCTGCACAGAGCAGCTGTAGTCAGCCCCCTACACAAACCTCCAGAGAGAATTGGGGATTTGGAGACCCCATTTATCATCTGAGGATTAGGTGACATTATGCTTATAAAGCACCTGGCACAGAGTAGGTGCTCAAGAAAGAGTTGCAGGCGGGATGATAATAATGGTGGTTGCGTCATTTTCGTAGTCCGGAGGTTTGGTTCTGAACATCTAGCTCTGTTATTATTTTGTGCTGTGTGGCTGTGGACAAGTCACGTGTCATATCTTGTCACTTGCCCGAGTATCTGCTTCATAAATATTGATCAGCTCCAGGCACATTGTGATTATGCAGCGAATGATGGGAGTAAAATGCCCACAAACTGGAGAAGTCTGGGCATGTCTGAGAGGCATTTACTGAGCATTTTAACATTAATTGAACACCTACTATGTGCCAGGCTCTGTTTTTAAGAAGTCCCCTGCCTTTAAGAAACTCTTGAACAAAAGAAGAAGCAAGCGTTTGCTCCTTCGTTAACTGTGCTTACCTGAGCCCCTCTTCTGGGAGGGGAGGCAAAGGGACAAATCAGGGATGTGTCTACAGCTGGCTGAGGACACAGGTATTCATCACAGGCCTGTGTCATTGACAGTCATCTCCAAGTACTATACACCCAGAGGTCACACTTTCTGAACCTAAAACAGGGCCTCAAGGGCTGATAACGGAAGTACGCTTTCGGGATATGGGGACGAAAGATTGGTATCAACGGTGACCTGGGAAGTCCAGGCCTTGTGGATTCAGTGGGAGTGACTGAGTCCGGGAGGGAACACACCCCCTACAGCAGGAGTTCCCAGGCAGGAATGAGGGGGAACACACCCCGCAGGGGCATAGTGCATGCGAAGGCCCCATGGTGGAACCTGCAGAGCACGGGAGCTTGAGTGCCGGCTGAACTGGGGCAAGGAAGGAGGCTTGCCCATGGCCACAGAGCGAGTAAATGGCAGTTAAATTCATGCCACTCTGGTTGACTGCAAAGCCTTTGCTCTTTCTGGAGAGTTCAGGGAAGTGGGGTATAATGCTGATGGCTAGCAGGATGGTGAGGGGAGACCCCTCGCAGGGGTCCTCCTGGAAATCTAAGGCAGAGGAGGACGGAGAGAAAGGAGGTAGGTAGGTTGCCATGTGTCCGGAGATTGGGGAGGATGAGGCAGAGGGTGAAGTCAGAGTCAGGCCAGGGAAGGAGGAGGAGGAGGGTCCCCAACTGAGAGAGTTGCCACCCGCAGGCACACAGTGGGGCAGGCAGCCAGTGATCTGGGCCAGCCTGTGCTGCAGCGAGAGGGTTTCCATCCTCGTGGGGCTGGGACTCTCCCAGGTGGGGAAGAGCCTCTGAAGCTCAAAGGACAAAGAGCTGCTGAAGAACTGTGAATAGCTGCTTATCTGCTAACTTAAACTACAAAAAAAAAAAGGTAAATTATAAAAGTTAATCATTCAGCCTGTAATCCAAAAATAATCAGTGTTTGTATGGGAGTGGGTGTGTCTCTGTGACTTCCTTTCTTTGCTCTTCATTCCCTACCATTTTTCTTTCTTCCTCTTCTTTTTTTCTGAGACAGTCTGGAGTGCAATGGTGTGATCTCAGCCCACTACAACTTCTGCCTCTCGGGTTCAAGCAATTCTCTCGCCTAAGCCTCCTGAGTACCTGGGATTATAGGACCCACCATCATGCCTGGCTAATTTTTGTATTTTTGTAAAGAGTGGGTTTCACCATGTTGGCCAGGTTGGTCTTAAACTCCTGACCTCAGGTGATCCGCCTGCCTCGGCCTTCCAAAGTGTTGGGATTACAGGCGTGAGCCACCACACCCAGCCACATTTCTCTTTCTTAAATTACAAAAAATATGAGGCGGCAGATCGCTTTGATCACTCCCCCCCTCCACCCACCACCTCTCTAAATATACAAACACGTGTATACACATGCCATCTCCCACACATATATACACTCACAGATGGACTCTCGGTGGCAAATCTCTAGATTGAGTAGCTATTAAGAGTATAAGCTTTGGAGTTAGACCAGGTTAGAATTCTGCCTCATCACTAGCTGGCTACAGGCAAGTCTTTATTCCTCTAAGCCTCAGTTTCCTCCTCTGTAAAATGGGATTCTAACATGAACTTCACATGGTGGCTGTGAGGATTGACAGAACATGAAAAAGCTCCAGGCAGGTGCACATGAGGTCCTGCCCGGGCTTCTCCCTGCCTGGCCCACAGCACTTTGCCGCTGCTCTTCAACAGAGCCT